TGCTGCTTGATCTGTCATTTTATTTTAGTTTGAAATTGAAGAATAGAATATGGTAATGAAGAAGGAAATGATTTATATGGAGATAAGGAAGAGCATATTTTTGTTACATTCAAATATGGAGGCTTTTGGGTTGAAACCAATGACTGCTTTAGAAAAAGATATAATGGTGGAAAACAAATGACTATCAGTGAGAGCTCGGCCCCGAAGAGAGAGAACGTCCACAAAAATCATAAGGTTTTTTAAATTTCTTCGTTGAGTTTTTTCAGCTGCATTCTTCTATGGTGGAGGAGGGTCGCCGGTCAACCTCTAATGACCAGAATACCTCAACCCCATCTTCTGCCATGCGTCTGATTCCTTTGGATACAATAGATAAATTTATAAATTAGGATTTTGTAATCAAGCAACGTCCTTTGATCATCAAGGAAGGTCAGCTTCTTCTGAAAAATAATGTGCTTTCGGCGATGGGCAAGGCGAAAGAGACAATGGAAATTCTGGGAAAGAAGAATCCAGCATCTTTGTCTTCACCATCTAAGAAGATATTGTCTAGAGCGATGAACGATGCAGAGGCTTCATCATCAACTGGCTTCAAACTAAAGATAAATAGATTTTCAAATGTTTCCTATGCTACGAATAAACAAGACATATTGAATATGGATTTGAAAACTTCAAATCATGATGAAGTTTTGAATTATATAGTTTAAAAACAAGTATTAAATTATAAGAATGAGTTATTGATTCTAGACAATGACATTTGTGGTTTGGAAAATGCTTGGGCTAAAAACCATCACATCCAAGTTCCCCTAATTAATCCAGTTATATAAAGAATAAGGATTTTGAAGTTGTTAAACTTAACATGGATAAGGTTTATGAAAATGTTAATTTTCTTCAAAAATCTCTTATGGTGAAGGTTTTCGGGAGAGAAGTTCCTTTCTCCCTTTGTAGCATTGAGTTATGGAATCAATGGAATGGGTTTGGTAATTTTCATATCAGCTCATTGGGACTTGACTAGATTTTATGTTCATTTCATTCCTCTCAAGCTATGGAAGAAGTGCTAAGTGGTGGTCCTTGGTATGTGGGAGGACACATAATAGGAATGGATAAATGGTCACCTCAATTTTCTCCAACATCTTTGAAAGGGCTATCCTCTCCAATTTCGAAACGATTACCACATTTGCCCTTACATTGTTGGGATGAAATTAATGTTACTAAGATTTTTTTAAAGATTGGAGTTCAATTATTACTGGAAGGGAAAATGTTTAAATGGGGTAGACGTGAATTTGCAAGAGCCTATGTTCGTATTAATCAAGACTCTAAATTATCTCATGGAGTTTGGATTGAAGGCTTATGTGGGAAATTTTTTCAGAGGATTGAATATGAAAAATTTCTTCTTTGTTTTTCAAATGTGGCAAGATAGGTCACAAAACAGAAATGTGTATGGAGGTTCCAAAGGAAGTGGATAATAAAATTGAAAATGAAGTTCACGGGAATAGATCAAAGGTTATTGGAACAAAAATTGATAAGAATTTTATGGAAAAAATGGATAGTGCATATTCTCAAATATGCTATGGTTCTTGGATACATGTAAAGTTTAAGAATAGAAGAAGAATGAGGAAAGTTCAAAATCAGAAATCTGAAGTTCCAAATGCTGTTATGAATCCTGAGGGAAAAGATTCAATAGCTAATATGGCACCAACGAAATTATCTGCACGTAATAAGTTTAAATTTCTATCTTAAGTATTTGCAAAGGAGTTGAATAGATTGGAAGATGAAGATTCAATTAAGTAAGCTGAAGATCTCAAAATAGCTTCAACGAATGAAGACTCGATTCTTGATCCTATTTCAAATTTGACTATAGAAATAGCTTCTATTGATGAAAGTCTAGTACTTTTAGAGGATGGTGAAATTGATCCAAATAATGAAATCCTTGTTGTGCAAGAAGTTCTAAAGACAAATAATACTAATCCAGAAGATCCAGTAGGAGGAAAGATTATTGATTTTCCAAAACAGAATGAAGGCAGGATATAAAATTCAATTATTATTAATAATGGAAAGGCTATTGAAAGCATAATTAGAAGCGTTCCAAATTTGGAACACGGAGAATATGGTAGGGGCAGCTCTCATGATTCTAAAAATCTGAAGTAGGTGAGTACTCCTTTGTCCAAATTTGATAAAATAAATAATGGAGAAGCTTTATTTGAACATGGGAAATTCCAACTCCCTTTTAAGTCAGATTATCTTAAGAAAAAAACTAATAAAGATTCAAAGTTGTTTGGTCCTATTAAAAGAAGCCTTAGAGGAAGGAAGATGGGCTCTCTTGGTGGAAGCATTAGAGCCACTTCAATATTTAACTCATGATATGAGTGGTGAAAGTGAAGTCCAAGAATGATTGGTGGATTTGTGGATGATGGTGGAGCTTCTTAAAAACATCACTTGTGGAGGCATGAAGATCGTTGTTTATGTCTTGACAAATTTCTTTTACTGGTGTTTCATTTCTTTTATTTTGTTTAGAAAACTTTTTTTTTTCTTTATTTATTTTAAGCATAGGTTGGTATTTAGAAAACGGAACTAGAATAATGGAATTTAAGAATCATTATATATATTTATTTTTACTCAATTGGGAAATCTGGGATACTAATCAACCTTTTTGGTTGTTGTTTTAACTTTGGTATCCCCTCCACCCATATGGGTTTAAAATGATAAGTAGAGGATCTTAATTTCATTATGACATTTTCCCTTTTCCTAATATTTTCATTATGCTTAAGTTGCTTGCTAATAAGACCTCCTTTTACTTTATTTTAAAGGGAGGGTCTAGTAGTTTCTTTTTTCCTTGTAATAGTTATTTTTTTTAAAAAATAATGCTTTATGCATTTTCTCAACAAAAAATAAAAAACAAATGACTATCAAACTTGAGAAAGGACATATCAATCATTTCATGCTCAAAACAAAAATTGCTAGAATATGCCCATGGCTAAAAAGACATCAATAAGATATGCATTTTCACATACACTGAACATCACTAAAGAATTCAAAATGATCAATTCTTATGTTGACGAGATTGAGATGGTTAAACTTTCGACTAAAAATTTTCATGCCGAGATTGTTATCTCAGTACAAGAAATAGATGGTGAGCAATCAAATATAAACCTCATGGAGGTTGTGAGTACGTAACATATGGCAGAATGTTTAAGTTTTTAAACAACAAGTTTTGTTGATATAGGTCTTGACAGTTTTTTTATCAAGCAAAAAGTTTCAAGAATGCTCTTGGATCAGTTGCCATTAAGGAGAACTTTGCGGTGCTGATAAAAGCCAGTGATAAAAAATGTGTTATTACAACGTGTTCATTTCAAGATTGTTAGTGGAGAATTCTGGCATCTTTACATGAAGACAATCAATATTTGTGTGTACTCCATCTAATCTCCTAACTTGAAAAGATTTAGTGCAGTTACAATATGGAAAGCAAAGCATTTAAAAAGTTTCCCCAAACATGCCCTAAAATAGTTCAAGTTTGTTTGATCTAATCTAAATTCAATTTACGTCATTCTATTTAATTCGGTTTTAAATATAATAAATATGAAAGATATATTATTCTCTATACAATAGGTTTTTTTTAGGTCACTTAAGATACATTATATATAGATAATTAAGTTCAATTAGATTTTCTTTAATTTATCAAAATTTTAAATTGAAATAAACCTAACCAAAAATATTTGTATAAATTGATGTTTTTATAATAAAAAATTTATATTTGCCTATCTAAATAAATTAAATTAATTTTTATATTCCATTAAATATATTTCTTACTTCTTTAGTATTTTGAATACATTAAAATTGCATTTTTTTTTAATTGGGAGATTAAGCTTTCAACAAAAAAAATCATAAAATCATACGATCAAAATCTTAAGGATACAGTATTTTCAATAAGTTAGAAGTTGTTTGGCCAACCAAAAATGATGTGATATGCGAATAACCTAAGATAATGGCAACATCCATTTGATTTTTCCAAGAAAAAGACAACATACATCCCATTTGAAATAGACAATTTGACTTCTAAAAGAAAAGAAATTCCCTCATATTAACTCCCAATGGCATGTTTTAGATTATTTATCCAAAAACATTTTATTTTATGCATGAAAAAGAAAATAGAAAATAATAGAATTTAGTCGCCTGTTGTTTGAGGCACTCAATCAATGACTCGAAAAAATAAGTGATTGAATTATTATGAGCACTAATAGAATTTTTTATATATTGCTTGAAACATGCTCATTTATTATTTAATTAATAGCTTACAGGAAATTTGATAAAATGGTCATTTAATAAGGACTTAATTGCTTGTTTCATGAATTGGAGTAATAGAATATATATATATATATATATGTTTTCTATCATTAAGAGTAAATATTTGATGAAGGAATAACTAACATAATCAATGGAGTGTAAGATTCTTAAATATAATAGGAGTGTCTTAGAGAGATGCGTTCCTGCACAATATTTGATAAAATCAATACATTTGATTCTCAAGTTATTCTCCTACAAAAAGGTATGTTATGACTAACGATATAAATCATATTATACCAATAAATATCATAATTTTCTTTCTAAAATTTACTCAAGTCTAATGATGATTTTTTTTAATTTTTTCACTAATGATGTGGAAATAAAATTTTATGTCACGAGATCTTCTATTAAGAAATTTGTCAAATATGAGACCTGAGTAATAATAACTATTCCTTGCTCTTAAAACGTCTTTAGCTGTATCTTGTTTTGCGAGTCTATTGATGATTTGGCATTTTCACAATGAAGCTTTTGTCTATCTTTCTTGTATTATCATTTTGAGTAATAATATTTCTTCCATAAGTTAAAAAAATAAATAAATAGGAGGTGGGTCTTAGACAATCTCAGCTAATCATCTCTAATTCATAGCTCGTTATAAAAAAGATTGGGACTATTAAATTACTTCAAACCAATGCATAGAGGTTCAAAAATTCATATTATTTAACATCTATTTAAGCATAAAAGCTCTGGCTTGGAGTCAAAAACATCCTTCATTAAAATCATGACAATGAATTGAGTTAATCAAGAAAAGATACTTTGCTACAATACTTCTATTATTAGAATAGGTCGACTGTTTGAAGAAAAACAAATAACAGATATAGTTAACTAGTAATTGTCTCTTTCAATGTAGATTCAAAAAGTCTTGAATGGGCATTAACTAAAATATCATCTCTAGTGAAATGCATTCTTCATTTATCTTTGCTTAACAAGCAGCTTTGGTGACTTGGGTTTTATTTTTTCCTTTGTTGACCTGAATTAACAACACATTTTGAAGAATTTTTAGCTCCTTAAGGTGCAATGTGAACAAAATAGTACAAAAATTGCTCGCTTTTAAGGGTGGAAAGTAACTAAAAATGTATATTATTTACTCACTTTTAGGGGTGGAATGGATTGTCAAATTTGGGAATAGGTCTCACATGTGGCACCATTGTTCTTCTCTTCTGTTTGATTTCTTTTTCTTCTTCATTGTTTTTTTTTTCAAAAATAAAGATTATGAGAAGCGCTCAATGTAATTAATAATAAATAAACAATGCAATGTTTAGGTTTTACCATCTTTAAATTCTCTTGCTCCTCCCTAATTCTTTTATCAGTCAATTCTTTCTCTTTCATCTGCAATCATAATTTTAGAATTCAGAAAGATAATCTCATTTATTTTTTTAGAGTGTTGCTTGTAAGCTTTATTGGGTGGTGCTCTTTGAGATGAATTTTAGAAATACTTATGCATTTTATTTCTTTTATGAAGATAAGATTAGAAGATTTTAGCTCAAAAACACACCTCACCCATGTGAATAATAATACTGTAAATATTCTCTTATCATCTTTAAATTCTCCCGCTCCTCCCTAATCTTTTGATGGTAAATTCTTCCACTTTCATCGTCTATCATAATTTTAGAATTCATAAGGATAATTCCATTTATTTCTTTTGAGTGTTGCTTGTAAGCTTTATTGTGTGCTGCTCTTTGAGCTGAATTTCAGAAATACTTACGCATTTTATTTCTTTTATGAAGATAAGCATAGAAGATTTTAGCTCAAAAACACACCTCACCCATGTGAATTATAATACTCTCCATATTCTCTTACCTTCTTACCAAATTCAAATCTTTCCACAGCCCTATGATCCACATGAAAAACAAACTCCAGTACATATGTGAGAGGCTTTCTTTTTCTTTTTGGAAGTGGAATTGGATGCCTTCCATAGAGAGATATTCATTAATTAAAACATATTTGAATGTACATTGAAAAGCTGATGAAAATTATCCTATCTGACACATACTCTTTTATTATAGGATGTGGTATGAATATTCTTCTCTCTGCCTCCTCCCTTTCCATCCTTTCCCTCTCTTCGCTCATTTTGTTCATCTCCTCTTCTTGTCTGATAAGGCTATCCAAGTGGAAAGCCTTTCGCTTTGTGCTTTGTTTTGGCAGAGGTTTTGGTGGCATCTTAATAGAAGAAATGCAACATATGGGTGAAATACAAATGACTAACTAATTTCGAAAATGAATGGAAGGAAGAAATTCTCTCTTACAATAGGATAATCTGTAATATAAGGATAATGATTCGCCTTGGGAATCCTAGCTTTCTCTTCTTCCAATTGCTTTTGTAAGATTTGAAGTGTAAATAGTTTCTCTTTCTCAAGTCCTCTCTCCTGGAAAATTAAATTTAAGTATTAATGACCATTTTTTGTAGCTTCGAATTTAAACTATATGTTTAGCATAACAAACCTCTATATGCAGATGGAAAGGATTTGTTTTTGTGATTTTGGGAATGCCTTGTTGGGTATGATGAGAAGAGTCAGAATGAAGTGAAAACTAGAAAAGGGAGAAAACTTCATCAGTCATTTTCTACTCTAAATATGTACAAAGCTAACAAATTTCTCATATATACTTTCTCTGTCAAAGTTCTCTATCATCATAGTTGAAGGTGGAAGGCCCAACCTATCATTTATAGCAAAATGGAACTCTTGTGTAATAGTAATTTGTGATTTGGACTGACAAAGTAATCTGAGATCTCCCTTACTTTCAATAATCTGCATTTTGATATACTTTGAGACAGCAAGTGGGAATAATGAAGTCCAAACTTGCACCAAAAAAAAAGAAAAATAAAACTTATCCTTGTAAATAGTGTGACAACACACAGACCTTTTTGTTGAGTGGACTGGCTTTAAACTTTGGAATCTTTTCAAATTCTGCCAGCTCCAGTTCCTGTTTCGGTGAGCTCTTTATCCTATGTTTCCAAATAAATCATGGATGAAATGAGAAAATATTTAGTCAAGCGCAGTTCTAGATTATATGGTTTTTCAAGTTTGAAAATTTCATACTTTGTTGGTCGTGCCTTTAATGAAATCTCAAGAATAAGTGGTCTTGGTTCAGTAATCTTCAGAGGTTTGAAGTGGCTTTGTTACAAAATAATGTCACCCAACATTATGCTAAAAGAAACTTAGAAAATTCACATAAGATCCTAATATTGATGAGATAAACAATAAAATGTTAATTTGTAATTTTTTTTAGCCAGAACAAGGTTTTATACCTGAGAAGAAGCATCAACTGAAGAGATAACATATGCTATTTCAGTATGTTAATTTTCCCTTTCCATAGTCTTCAAGTGAAATTCCTACAAATATTGAATAGAAAATAAAGCTTTTATATAACAAGAACTAGATTTCACAATAACCTTAAACCCTAAATCAAACATTATCTTTGATTGATTCTTTGATACAGATGAAAAAGGAGAATGGGCTGTGTTAAAAGAATTAGATTCAAGATTTTTTCTTCAAATCCAATATCGCAAGGACAATTGATAAATGGTCTACCCTATATCATCTTTGTCATCAAAACTATCCAAATAAAAGAAAATTGGAATTAGCCATAAACTGCTAACTAAATTGTGAAAAGTCAAGAAAAACTCGTAGCATAAACCAAGCATAAACCACTAAGCTCTATCGAGATCTTCTATAGTCAAAACTCGAGATAGTTTCCCAAAAATTTTCAGTTATTAGAAAAAGGGTAAAAATCTCTTTGTTAGACGAAAGATAAAAGCAATGAAGATACATTCATAAAAAAAAATTAAAATTAAAATTAAGATCCAATCTTTCCTTGATTCGAACATCTCAGAAGAACAGAACCTTAGTATTTAAAATTCAAGATCATAAAAAAATATGGTAGCGAAGTGAAGACTTACAGGAATGGCCATAGCTGAGGGAGGTCTTGAACCATCGCTCGGCCTTTTGGATGTCCTCTTCGATCTCCTTGTTGAGGAAATCAAAGATGCGAGGACTAGAAAACTTGTAGGTCTCATCGACCTGGAGATTGGCCGAGAACTAGAGGAAGGAGGTTTCTAAGGGCTCTAACCTAGGGTTTCAGAGTTACACCGAGAGAGCGTGAGGAGTCTTAGAGTTGGGCGGAAGAAATGAAGAGTTCTCTTTCTTTTTACAATGGGGATTTTTTGCTTAATTGTGTAGTGCGCAAAGATAAACGGATGATGGTGATGCGGAGAGATACCTCATTAGTCATTACCACTAACACCGGTCCTCTCACAAGGCTAGGGCCCACTAGTGCCAATAACATTTGAATAATATTACTAAATATATTTTTTAGTATATTTTCTCACATTCAAGGTTCTAAAAATTTGATCGGACAATGTATAGAAAGAATGAGAGGTTCATGACTCGACTGGTCTAATTGGGCTGAATTGGATGACGTAATAAATAACTAATATTATTGGAATTTAATAAAATTAACATAATAATAATGTTATAATTTAAAGTATGAGACAAAAAATTAAACTAAAAAAACTATTAAACATAAAACTTATATAATTAAGTAAATTAATTATTTTAAAATTTTATATAAAAGCAAAAAAATTTAAATCTTATAATTATAAAAATTAACACTCATAAGAATATGATAATTTTAAATTTAAATATTTTTCAAATTTTAAATTTGATTTTTAATTTAAATTTAATTTACATATGACTTTATAATTTAATATAAATTTTATTAATTTATGTTACATATTTAATATAAATTTAATTATAACAAAAGTTTATAAATTTAATATAAATTATTCTTATTTTATATTATATGATTAGGCAAATGTTTATAATTAAAAATATATTTTAATTTAAATTAAATATTTTAAATATATATTAATTTATTTAATTAAAAAAATATTTAAAATTTATGGGATTTGAACTAGTCGGTTCAAAATAATCGATGGTGATTCGCCGGTTCAACCGGCAGTTTTGCCAAGTTCAGTTTGGTTTGATGCAGAAGCAGTTTTAAAACTAAACCAGACCAATCTTGTGATCGATTCATGGTTTAACTTGTTGAACCAGCTGGCCCTGTCCGATTTTTGAAACATTGCTCACATCTAAAAATTTAGTCTTTTTATTTGCCATTTTTTTATTCATGAAGGTTATCGACTGAAGAGCAAATCCACTTCAAGAGCTGAAATAGGAAGCTAAAATGCCTAATTCAATTACAATCTATAATTTAAAATTTTATTTAACGAGTTAGTTTCTACTAGTTAATAAAATATTTAAAAATAAATTCATTGCTTAAAATGGAATTATTTGCAAAACTTTTTTCATTTAAATAATAATATGAATGATAAGAAAATTTTGAAGGCACAAAAATTGTTTATTACTTAAAAGGTACTCGACGTTCAATATTTGCTATAGTTTTATTATTTGTAATTTGAACGAGTGGTTTATATATATATAAGAAATTATTTCTTTTAAATATTATTTTTTGTGATTTAAATCTATTTGTGGCTAATACTAAAATTTTTTAAAAAGTATTTAAAATTTATTATGCTCATTACAATATCTTTGTAGTTTGTAATGAGCATAGTGAATTCTATGAAGGTAGCCAGTGAAGCGAAAAACTTTACCTCACTAAATAGTGTTTATTGTATAAAACATAGATTAAAAAAAACAAGCAAATCTCCTTTAACAGGGTTGCTGCCAAGTAAATCAAAAAACATAAGAAGAGAGGTATAACTCTATTGGTGGAATTTTTGATAAAGATATTTTGAAAATTTTGATCTTATTTGGGAAATTTGAGTTTTAAATTTACAGTTTCAAGATCGAACAACTAGTTATAAATAATATATTGCCCCTTTAGGCAAAGATATCATTTGCTAATGGGTTTAGATGATGAAATTAAAATTTATCATCTCGATTGTAATAATCAATTCAAATAAGAATCGCATATAGTGAAAGTTTGTTAGGGTTGTTAAGCTCTTAAGAATTAACACAAGGCTAACCAAGAGTGGGGGGTGAATTGGTAGTTTTAAAAATTCTTAAACAAAAGGCAAGTTTTTTTTTTAATCCTTTTTGAATATTTTTAAAACAAACAAGATTAAACCCTTGATGCAGAAGCTATTAACAAAACAAAACAAATATTTCAACCATACAATTAACCATAGAATATTAAGGTGTGGAAATTAAAATGTGAAAAAAGTAATAAGAAAGAACAGGTAGGATTTTATAGTGGTTCGTTCAACTTGACCTACATCTACTCCTCGGAGGCACCCTCTGGATATTGCACTAATAACTATAGAGTCTCTCTTTTTGCTCCCACAACAAGGTGGAGAAGCCCTTACAAAATCCTTTTCACTGACTCTAGTGAGGCTAGAGAATCCTGACTCCTTTTGCTTCCTCCAAAAACAGGCAAGAACCTTGATCTAGTACTAATGAAGACCTCCCAAGAGCCACCAAGGAGACAAGGATCATTATTAGAGAAGAAGACTTGAATTCTTACTTGGAGAAACCTTTTTTAAAACATCACAAACTCTCCCTCACAAGATTCTCTCTCTAGGTCTCTCAGGCTCTCATGCTTCTTCTCTAAGCTCTCTTAGGTCAGGACAACAACAAAATATTTTATCATATGTAATATAGAAAGCTTAAATAGAATGTCTTAAAAAATTTCTCTAATTTTTAACTTGCTATCAATGGTCATCTGTTGCAAATTCAGGTCCATGAACTATGTTTTGATGATTGGCAAACACTCTTACTTGTCTTGGATTGCCTTTTACTACTGACTTTTTAGGAATCAAAGATCGGATGGAAAAATGGAGCCAGCTCAAGATTGGGTAGATTAGGGTTGAGTCAGTCTGTAATTTTATTTTTTCCCTTCTTGAGTCAATTATATTATTTGGTGTGACTTATGCAAAGTAACCCCACACACACACACACTTGAGAGACTTAGAATTTATATTTTTTTGCTCATATCGGCCAGGTCGATATTTACATCGTCCTAGACAATATCGCTTAAAATAGAGAATCTAATCAGTGGTTCTTAATTATGGCAGCCGTCATTAGCCAATCGGCCTGCACGATAGGCTCAAAACAGAAAGAAATTGCCGCCATAAATAATTAAGGAATTCTGTATTTTTGGTAATCGGCCAGGACGATCTTGGATCGGCCTAAACGATATTCACAATTATGCCTTAATTGATCAGACAATTAAGGAGGTAATTAAGGATGATTGATACAGTCATATCATCCTGGACGATAGTCACTCCTAGACGATAAATATCGACCAGCACAAATTCAGGGCGATGTGCTGGACGATCTGGATAGGAAAGCTTGAATTTATGGCGATGCTCTGAAAAATTTTCCTCTGATTTGAACTGATCGACCAGAATGATCAAGCCAATTTTTCAAACATCTAGTTTGCATTCAGGGCAATGCTCTGGCCGATCTTCTGAGATTTGTACTGATCGGCCAGGATGATGTCCATATCGGCCTGGACGATATAGTCGGCAACTTACAATTAATGAGCTCCTTTAAAGCTCTTCTATTTAAAAGCTTTAGTTCAACATTTTTGAACATCCTTGGCTACTGTCTTGACCTGAGAAAAACTAAAGGAGAGAGAGAGAGGGAGAGAGAGAGAGAGGATCTTGTGAGGGGGAGCTTGTGAGGGGATTCACAAGTGGTTGCTCTAAGCATTGTTCCACTTCTTCTTCCCTAGAGTCTCTTATTCATGGAAGGGTTGGGAGAGATAAGTTTCAGCAAGTGATCGAGGTTCTCTGCCTGCTTCAGGATGAAGAAAAACGAGGAAGGTTCTCTGCCTTGCCGGGTGTGGAAAAAAGAGGTGTTTGTAAAGGCTTCTCTACCTAGCTGTGGGGGCTAAAGGAGAGTCACGATTGTAGTGCAATACTCGAAGGGCGCTTCCGAGGAGTGGATGTAGGTCGAGTTGACCGAACCACTCTAAATCCTTCAGTTCTTGTTTTTACTGCTTCCGCATTTATTTTCTTCCGCATTTGTTCTTGTGGTGACTTGGTTTGTGATAATCGTTCTTTTTGCTTAAAGAAATTTTTAAATACCAATTCCCCCCCCCCCCTCTTGCTTAGCCTCGGGCCAGTTCTATAGGGCTTAACATCCCTAACGAACTTTCATCATCTAGGATAATCAATAAATCACCATGTATAATTAGTTTAGAACAGCCCCTCTAGCCAGGATGATCTGAGTTTACTGTACAATTAGAACATAATATTTGTTCTGATCATCACAATGATTTGGTTATCGTCCCATATAATCAGTTCAAAAACATAC